ATACATCTTGCAGATGTAAATGCAGACGTCAAATAGACGTCTCCTTGATGTGCGTGTGCTGTTACGTCATGGTATGCAGAAACCCACAGATCGCTAAAAAAGATGCTACATTGGGGTTAAATAATCACTTTAAAATGAGATGAGATGAGATGATGACTTAGAACATCTCGTTTGAGGTCATTTGACTGATGCTGCCTTTAACTTTCAGCAGAGACAGTCCAGGAGGAGAAGATTCGTCAGCTGGCTCAAGCGGTTCAGGACCAGGCCTTTGAGGTTCAGCAGCACTGGGAGCGGTTCAGTGCTCAGGCCACCAGCTGGCAGCACGAGGTTGACTGGGCTCTGGGGAAACTTCAGGACCTCCAACAAGCCATGAACCAACTGGACCTAGGCCTGGCTGAGATGGAGAATGAGAGCTGGCACTCTGAGGAACACAGCATGGCCAACTGTGTGCTGGAGAACGAGGAAAATATCGTGAGTTCAAATAAAAAAATATGGCAAGGCTTTAAAATGCGGCCCCGTTAGTTAATGCAATTACTAAAAGTAACTAATAATGAGCAATTCATTTGTTACAGTATTTATTAATTAGGTCCGATAAATATTGTAACATTACAATTTTTTAATTTTAATAATAGTAAATAAATGTTGAAATTTACATTTAGTAACGATCAGTAATCAAAATAAACCAAAATTAATTTTCATTGTTTATTTTATTAATTTTTTTTCTGAATGAGTAGCCTATACGTTTTCTATTTCTCGTTTCAGAATTGTTCTTCAAAATGTTTTAATGCCAAACCTTTTCAATATAAGCCAGAATTTGTGTCTTTTTTTGTTTTTAGGAACTTTTTTTTTTATTATAAACTCTGTTATTATTTGTTTTTTATGACATGCTTTACTGTTCAACTAATAGGTATACTGTATGATAAGCATCTATTTGAGAATATTAATTATTACGATTTGTTTTCTACCATTGTTTTTGAGAGAAGAGAGAAAATTTACTCTAGTACTACAGATGTCAGTGTGTTCACCCTCTAGACTTCATTTTTATTCCAGTTTGACCTCCACAGACTTAAAACTATTATACAACTGTTATGATATGTGACAGATGGCTCATCCCTCATGTCTCATGTGATGATCAAATATGAAATTTTCTTTGTAATTTTAGCCTTGAATAGAATAAGGCAGATCCAGTGAAAGATCACACTCAGATTTGACTGTACAAGGGCATTTCAATAAATATGTCAGCAAACCGTCTCATGTGAGTAAATGCATCTGTTTGATTGAATGGTTCCACCAGGTCAGATTAGGTAGAGGACTGCATACGTGCAAGGCCATCAGACCATGCTGTCTATTGCTCATACAACGTCAAACATCAGGGTCAAGATGGAGTTATATTGGTTAAACTCTGAGATGTGCAGTAATGGGCACAACACCATCCGAAATACATTGCAGACTCTTTAAACTGTATGCATCCATGGTCATGCTAAATGTAAATAAATGTACTCATATGAAAGTAATCATTTAATCACCCTCAGGTTATCCAAGTTGTAGATGACTTTGTTTCTTCATCTGAACAGATTATGAGAAATTTAACATAATATCACTTGCTCACCAATTGATCCTCTGCAGTGAATGGGTGCCGTCAGAATGAGAGTCCAAACAGCTGATAAAAACATCACAATAATCCACATGTAATCCACACCACTCCAGTCCATCAATTAAGGTTGCATGTTTGTAATAAACATGTTCATCATTAAGAAGACTCAAAGACTCCTCTATCCAAAATATTGCTTCCTCCAGTGGAAAAGTCATCTCGTCTGAATCAGGAGAGAAATATGCACAGATCAAGCACCTTTTACAAGCAAAAACAGTTCAATATAGCTTTAATGTGAGAGTACAACAGGTGATGGACTTTTTCACTGGAGGAAGCGTTATTTAAAGTTAGAGGTTTAAGTTAAAGTTTAAGGTTTAAAGTTAAAATGCCTTAATGTTGGATATGTTTCTTACACTCTTACACGCAGCTTTCCACTTCATTAAACATTAACTGATGGACTGGAGTCGTGTGGATTATTGTGATGTTTTTATCAGCTGTTTGGACTCTCATTCTGACGGCACCCATTCACTGCAGAGGATCCATTGATAAGCAAGTTATGGAATGCTACATTACTCCAAATGAAGAAACAAGCTCATCTACATCTTGGATGGCCTGAGGGTGAGTACATTTTCAGCAGATTTTAATTTTTTGGGTAAACTATTGCTTTAATTCTGTCGTTTGCACATTGAAGGTCAAAATTTTAGATTATTTTACACTTCAGGTTTAGAATATTTCTTACTAGCCCACATAATAGCTATAAAGATGCCAATTTGTGCCACATGGGCAACAGATAATTTGAGCCGGCTGGCATCGCACTCTGAAATGCTCGTAAGATGCATTCAAAGCCCAGCATTGACCTTGAAGAATCAATTATTTTTAATCATGCATTAGGATCACTGAAACCACACGAAGTCCAGTTTGTTTTTGATTGCTCTTATATCCCGTAGCTTGATGAGTGTGTGACTGTCATGTTGTTTTGAGGATCCTGTGGGCAGAAATATTGACCCTACGTATTGATCTGGGCAGCTGGAGAACATAGATAATTAAGCTGCTACCTGCCCGATGACACTCTAGGGCCTTGTTTCACCAACACAGACAGGCTGTTGCTAACTCATTTTTGGAGCTCGAACAACAACATTTTTCACCCCAAGTGAGCATCTTGGGTTTTCATGTAATAGTTTTATTCATGTAACTGAAAGACTTGCACCATTTGTGCTTTTGGGATGTGGCATTGTCTGTCACACAAGATGAAAAGGGCACTCATTATATTTTGGCAGAGATGTGCCTCCACAGACTCTTGGAGTCAGGCGTGTTGGATAATGAGCGTCTGGTCATTTCTGAAGTGAAGTGCCAGCGACTACTTTCTCATATTCTCAGAACAATGTCTTTATTTTTCTCCAGACTGCCCCCTGCTTAGTCGTCTCATAGGATGAAAAAGCCTTTAAAGCACTGTAATTTCCCTCTGATCTGAGCTACCATTATGTCTCCATTGGAGGGGTATGTTTCGCATTATGGTCTGATAGCACAGTAAGATGTTAGGCATCATTTTTTATCTTGCCATCTGGTGTAGTCATAATCTTTCAATCTTGCTTGTTTGAGAATATTTTTCTTTTTCCAAATCTTATCAGGGGATTGTGGGTAATCAGCACCAGCAGTTTCAATGCTCTCAAACGGATAAGAGACATTTCTCCCATGACTTCTTGTCTGGTAAGTCGTTTTTTATGCATTCGTCAGTATTCCCATAGTCATAGAAAATCTTTTTAATTCTAAAATGGTGATTTTTAGGCCTGGAACATGTTTGTGCGAAATAATTAACAGTAATTTCTGTAGTGAATATACACTGCCGTTCAAATGTTTGGGGTCGTTTAGATTTTCGTTTAGTACTTTTATTCAGCAAGGATGCAAAAAAATTTATCAAAAGTGACAGTAAAGACATTTTTAATGTTTCAAAAGATTTCAAATATATGCTGTTATTTTCTATTCATCGAAGAAAAAAAAAGTATCATGTTTTCCACAAAAATATGAAGAAGCACAACTGTTTTCAGCTTTGATGATAATCAGAAATGTTTCTTGAGCTGCAAATCAGCATATTAGAATGATTTCTGAAGGATCATGTGACACTGAAGACTGGAGTCATGATGCTGAAAATTCAGTTTTGATCACATGAATATATTACACTTTAAAATATACTTTAAACTGTAATAATATTTTCCAAAACAACCATTTCTACTGTATTTTTGATCAAATAAATGAACATAAGAAATTTCTTTCAAAACCAATAAAAAAGCCTTTGAACGGTAATGTACATTTGTTTAGTTATACTCAACTCTGAAGTAATTCATTGGCTATAAATTGCTCTTTTGGAGTGCAATTTCCCATAAAACATATGTATTC